TGGCCACACGGATGTCAGGGCATGGGTATGGGTGGCCACACGGATGTCAGGGCATGGGTATGGTTGACCACACGGATGTCAGGGCATGGGTATGGGTGGCCACACGGATGTCAGGGCATGGGTATGGGTGACCACACGGATGTCAGGGCATGGGTATGGGTGGCCACACGGATGTCAGGGCATGGGTATGGGTGGCCACACGGATGTCAGGGCATGGGTATGGGTGGCCACACGGATGTCAGGGCATGGGTATGGGTGGCCACACGGATGTCAGGGCATGGGTATGGGTGGCCACACGGATGTCAGGGCATGGGTATGGGTGGCCACATGGATGTCAGGGCATGGGTATGGGTGGCCACACGGATGTCAGGGCATGGGTATGGGTGGCCACACGGATGTCAGGGCATGGGTATGGGTGGCCAGACGGACGTCAGGGCATGGGTATGGGTGGCCACACAGATGTCAGGGCATGGGTATGGGTGGCCACACGGATGTCAAGGCATGGGTATGGGTGGCCACACGGATGTCAGGGCATGGGTATGGTTGACCACACGGATGTCAGGGCATGGGTATGGGTGGCCACACGGATGTCAGGGCATGGGTATGGGTGGCCACACGGATGTCAGGGCATGGGTATGGGTGGCCACACGGATGTCAGGGCATGGGTATGGGTGGCCACACGGATGTCAGGGCATGGGTATGGGTGGCCACACGGATGTCAGGGCATGGGTATGGGTGGCCACACGGATGTCAGGGCATGGGTATGGGTGGCCACACGGATGTCAGGGCATGGGTATGGTTGACCACACGGATGTCAGGGCATGGGTATGGGTGGCCACACGGATGTCAGGGCATGGGTATGGGTGACCACACGGATGTCAGGGCATGGGTATGGGTGGCCACACGGATGTCAGGGCATGGGTATGGGTGGCCACACGGATGTCAGGGCATGGGTATGGGTGGCCACACGGATGTCAGGGCATGGGTATGGGTGGCCACACGGATGTCAGGGCATGGGTATGGGTGGCCACACGGATGTCAGGGCATGGGTATGGGTGGCCACACGGATGTCAGGGCATGGGTATGGGTGGCCACACGGATGTCAGGGCATGGGTATGGGTGGCCACACGGATGTCAGGGCATGGGTATGGGTGGCCACACGGATGTCAGGGCATGGGTATGGGTGGCCACACGGATGTCAGGGCATGGGTATGGGTGGCCACACGGATGTCAGGGCATGGGTATGGGTGGCCACACGGATGTCAGGGCATGGGTATGGGTGGCCACACGGATGTCAGGGCATGGGTATGGGTGGCCACACGGATGTCAGGGCATGGGTATGGGTGGCCACACGGATGTCAGGGCATGGGTATGGGTGGCCACACGGATGTCAGGGCATGGGTATGGGTGGCCACACGGATGTCAGGGCATGGGTATGGGTGGCCACACGGATGTCAGGGCATGGGTATGGGTGACCACACGGATGTCAGGGCATGGGTATGGGTGGCCACACGGATGTCAGGGCATGGGTATGGGTGGCCACACGGATGTCAGGGCATGGGTATGGGTGGCCACACGGATGTCAGGGCATGGGTATGGGTGGCCACACGGATGTCAGGGCATGGGTATGGGTGGCCACACGGATGTCAGGGCATGGGTATGGGTGGCCACACGGATGTCAGGGCATGGGTATGGGTGGCCACACGGATGTCAGGGCATGGGTATGGGTGGCCACACGGATGTCAGGGCATGGGTATGGGTGGCCACACGGATGTCAGGGCATGGGTATGGGTGGCCACACGGATGTCAGGGCATGGGTATGGGTGGCCACACGGATGTCAGGGCATGGGTATGGGTGGCCACACGGATGTCAGGGCATGGGTATGGGTGGCCACACGGATGTCAGGGCATGGGTATGGGTGGCCACACGGATGTCAGGGCATGGGTATGGGTGGCCACACGGATGTCAGGGCATGGGTATGGGTGGCCACACGGATGTCAGGGCATGGGTATGGGTGGCCACACGGATGTCAGGGCATGGGTATGGGTGGCCACACGGATGTCAGGGCATGGGTATGGGTGGCCACACGGATGTCAGGGCATGGGTATGGGTGGCCACACGGATGTCAGGGCATGGGTATGGGTGGCCACACGGATGTCAGGGCATGGGTATGGGTGGCCACACGGATGTCAGGGCATGGGTATGGGTGGCCACACGGATGTCAGGGCATGGGTATGGGTGGCCACACGGATGTCAGGGCATGGGTATGGGTGGCCACACGGATGTCAGGGCATGGGTATGGGTGGCCACACGGATGTCAGGGCATGGGTATGGGTGGCCACACGGATGTCAGGGCATGGGTATGGGTGGCCACACGGATGTCAGGGCATGGGTATGGGTGGCCACACGGATGTCAGGGCATGGGTATGGGTGGCCACACGGATGTCAGGGCATGGGTATGGGTGGCCACACGGATGTCAGGGCATGGGTATGGGTGGCCACACGGATGTCAGGGCATGGGTATGGGTGGCCACACGGATGTCAGGGCATGGGTATGGGTGGCCACACGGATGTCAGGGCATGGGTATGGGTGGCCACACGGATGTCAGGGCATGGGTATGGGTGGCCACACGGATGTCAGGGCATGGGTATGGGTGGCCACACGGATGTCAGGGCATGGGTATGGGTGGCCACACGGATGTCAGGGCATGGGTATGGGTGGCCACACGGATGTCAGGGCATGGGTATGGGTGGCCACACGGATGTCAGGGCATGGGTATGGGTGGCCACACGGATGTCAGGGCATGGGTATGGGTGGCCACACGGATGTCAGGGCATGGGTATGGGTGGCCACACGGATGTCAGGGCATGGGTATGGGTGGCCACACGGATGTCAGGGCATGGGTATGGGTGGCCACACGGATGTCAGGGCATGGGTATGGGTGGCCACACGGATGTCAGGGCATGGGTATGGGTGGCCACACGGATGTCAGGGCATGGGTATGGGTGGCCACACGGATGTCAGGGCATGGGTATGGGTGGCCACACGGATGTCAGGGCATGGGTATGGGTGGCCACACGGATGTCAGGGCATGGGTATGGGTGGCCACACGGATGTCAGGGCATGGGTATGGGTGGCCACACGGATGTCAGGGCATGGGTATGGGTGGCCACACGGATGTCAGGGCATGGGTATGGGTGGCCACACGGATGTCAGGGCATGGGTATGGGTGGCCACACGGATGTCAGGGCATGGGTATGGGTGGCCACACGGATGTCAGGGCATGGGTATGGGTGGCCACACGGATGTCAGGGCATGGGTATGGGTGGCCACACGGATGTCAGGGCATGGGTATGGGTGGCCACACGGATGTCAGGGCATGGGTATGGGTGGCCACACGGATGTCAGGGCATGGGTATGGGTGGCCACACGGATGTCAGGGCATGGGTATGGGTGGCCACACGGATGTCAGGGCATGGGTATGGGTGGCCACACGGATGTCAGGGCATGGGTATGGGTGGCCACACGGATGTCAGGGCATGGGTATGGGTGGCCACACGGATGTCAGGGCATGGGTATGGGTGGCCACACGGATGTCAGGGCATGGGTATGGGTGGCCACACGGATGTCAGGGCATGGGTATGGGTGGCCACACGGATGTCAGGGCATGGGTATGGGTGGCCACACGGATGTCAGGGCATGGGTATGGGTGGCCACACGGATGTCAGGGCATGGGTATGGGTGGCCACACGGATGTCAGGGCATGGGTATGGGTGGCCACACGGATGTCAGGGCATGGGTATGGGTGGCCACACGGATGTCAGGGCATGGGTATGGGTGGCCACACGGATGTCAGGGCATGGGTATGGGTGGCCACACGGATGTCAGGGCATGGGTATGGGTGGCCACACGGATGTCAGGGCATGGGTATGGGTGGCCACACGGATGTCAGGGCATGGGTATGGGTGGCCACACGGATGTCAGGGCATGGGTATGGGTGGCCACACGGATGTCAGGGCATGGGTATGGGTGGCCACACGGATGTCAGGGCATGGGTATGGTTGACCACACGGATGTCAGGGCATGGGTATGGGTGGCCACACGGATGTCAGGGCATGGGTATGGGTGGCCACACGGATGTCAGGGCATGGGTATGGGTGGCCACACGGATGTCAGGGCATGGGTATGGGTGGCCACACGGATGTCAGGGCATGGGTATGGGTGGCCACACGGATGTCAGGGCATGGGTATGGGTGGCCACACGGATGTCAGGGCATGGGTATGGGTGGCCACACGGATGTCAGGCATGGGTATGGGTGGCCACACGGATGTCAGGGCATGGGTATGGGTGGCCACACGGATGTCAGGGCATGGGTATGGGTGGCCAGACGGACGTCAGGGCATGGGTATGGGTGGCCACACAGATGTCAGGGCATGGGTATGGGTGGCCACACGGATGTCAGGGCATGGGTATGGGTGGCCACACGGATGCCATGGCATGGGTATGGGTGGCCTCACGGATGTCAGGGCATGGGTATGGGTGGCCACACGGATGTCAAGGCATGGGTATGGGTGGCCACATGGATGTCAGGGCATGGGTATGGGTGGCCACACGGATGCCAGGGCATGGGTATGGGTGGCCTCACGGATGTCAGGGCATGGGTATGGGTGGCCTCACGGATGTCAGGGCATGGGTATGGGTGGCCACACGGATGTCAGGGCATGGGTATGGGTGGCCACACGGATGTCAGGGCATGGGTATGGGTGGCCATACGGATGTCAGGGCCGTGGTGCAAAGGAGAGGAAGACAGTGAAAACCTCAAAGCCCCTCATGAGTGTTCGCATGCCTCATGCATGCAGTCATTGACCTGAAGGCGCGGTGCAGCGCTGAGGAAATCGGCGCAAAGCTCCTCCGCTCGGTGGCGCAAGTGGTGGCCGTGCTGTGAGGGAATACAGTGCAAACCATAAGACACCTCACAGATTCTTCCATGCCTCACCTTAAGCCGCAGCGCTGAGGAAGTCGGTACAAATTGCATGCACTCGGTGGGGCAGGTGAAGACCGTAGACGCTGAGGTTGCGGTGCAGCATGGCGAGGCGAGGCAGGCTCATGTCAATGGCCAACACATGGGGGCAGCTGGGAGAAATGGTAGGTGGGGAAGGGGGATGAGAAGTGTGACAGGGTGGGATGTGGAAGCAAAAAAAAAAAAGGAAACGAATGCTGTGGTTGTGGCATGGAAGGGGGGAGGTAGAAACTGTTTAGTGGAGTCACTATACGATGATGCAACAATGAAGTAGGAGAAGTAACAATGAAGATAACAAAAGAGCCGCTGTTACGAAGCCGTGACAGTGAAGCACATGGTCCTTCTGCTCATCTGCCTCTCACACAATCCTCCCCCACTGGGATGTCATGTCAACCAGCCCCAAAAGGCCCCCACGCAGAATCCATCCAAGACCGCCCCTAATCCACTCCTGTAGGGCGTTGTCTCCTCGCCACAGGCGGGTCAGCTGGGTTACTTGGGCTGGGCCGCTTGAGAAGGGACGGGTTACTGGAAGTTACATGATCCTAGAAGACCTCCCAGCCGCTAGGCAGGACTCAAAGCTTGGCCAGATGGATGGTGTTGCCGCCCACCTCGCAGAACGCATCCAACACCATACGCGCCCCCCCCCCCCCCCCCCCCTTTCGCCACAGGTAGGTTACTGAGAAGTGAGTTCACTTGGCTCTAGAAGCGCCACGCGTCCTTAGCATGAGACTCACAGCTTGGCCAGGTGGATGGTGTTAGCTGTCCACCCCACAGAAGGCATCCACCACCACGCCTGCCTCATCCGCCACACCTGCTGGAACCCTCTTCATGCCTGCTGCATGCTCACACCGCTGCTCGCGTTTTCCATCGCCACACCTCCCTTTGTCCAGGAAGCTACCTCTTGGTTCCTCTTCTCCTCCCTGCCTGCCCATCGCCTCAACTTGCCCCTTCCCTTCCTCCTCCTCCCCCGCTTATACTCGGACTCCCCAGTGCTCTAGAACCTCTTCCTCTGAACTTAACAGTGCAGTGTTGCCATCACACATGGCAGCACCATCTTCTGCACAAGTGGCGCCGCTATCTCCTGCCGACGCGCCAGCACCTCCGCCTCCTGATGACGTGGCAGCATCAGCCCCTGCACACGTGGCACCACCAAAATCCATGGCAGCAGCGCACATGGCAGCGTGGTGGGCAGCAATGGCCTCATGAGTGACAAGGGGCCACGCGTCAGCATCCAATAGGACGCCCTCATCGAACCATGAGAACAGACCATACCGCTGCAGCCAGTAATTCTCATACCCCGCTGCTACAGCCTGCTCTGCTACAGCCTCCTCTGCTATAGCCTCCTCTGCTACAGCCCCCTCTGCTACAGCCGGCTCAAGTAAGACCTGCTCCGCTTCGGCGTGTGCAGAACGTCCCTCTGCAGATACAGCCTGCCCTGCTACAACCTGTTCGGGCGTCCATCCCTCCCGGTATGCAAGCCCAATCCCCTCACCATGGACTGGCGAGTGCCACTGGGTGATGGCAGGTGGCAGCATTGCAGAAGTACACGCCGTGGGAGAGCGGCTCCCACACTGCCTGCCATGCACCCTCCTCCGCCACCACGAATGACACCCCCTCTGCCCGCCCTTCCAGTGTTTGCTCTCCCTCTGCCCGCCCTTCCAGTGTTTGCTATCCCTCTGCTTGCCATTCCAGTGTTTGCTCTCCCTCTGCCCGCCCTTCCATCGCCTGCTCTCCCGCTGTCTGACCATCCAGCAGCATTTGCTCTTCCCTCATCTCCTCTACTTCTGCAACCCATGCTGTTCTCTGCATGCCGCCCTCCACTGCCTCTGCACCACTCCCCACCACTGTCTCTGCACTGCTCCCCACCACTGTCTCTGCACCGCTCCCCACCACTGCCCCTGCACCGCTCCCCACCACTGTCTCTGTACCGCTCCCCCCCACTATGTCTGCACCGCTCCCCACCACTATCTCTGCACTCCTCCCCACCACTCTCTGCACCGCTCCCCACCACTGTCTCTGCACCGCTCCCCCCCACTGTCTCTGCACCGCTCCCCACCACTGTCTCTGCACCGCTCCCCACCACTGTCTCTGCACCGCTCCCCACCACTGTCTCTGCACCGCTTCCCACCATTGTCTCTGCACCGCTCCCCGCCACTATCTCTGCACCGCTCCCCACCACTGTCTCTGCACCGCTCCCCCCCACTGTCTCTACACCGCTCCCCACCACTGTCTCTGCACCGCTCCCCACCACTGTCTCTGCACCGCTCCCCCCCACTGCCTCTGCACCGTTCCCCCCCACTGCCTCTGCACCGCTCTCCACCACTGTCATTCCTCCAGCACTCTCTGCCGCTGCCCCTGTGAGAGCCCTTCTCACTGCATCAGCAGCAACCTGCCTTGCTGCATTTGCACCACCCTCCACTGCTATCGCTGCACCCACCCCTGCCATGCTCTCTGCACCACCCTCTATCCCTGCATCTGTAACACACTCTAATGTTGCCTGTCCATCTCCCCTCCTTCTCCCCCGCCTCTTCTTCTTCCCTCCACGAGCCCCACCACAACCACCACTGCCACCACCACCAACACCACCACCCTGCTGCTGCAGCATACACAAAAACAGTGGGTGTGAGGAGGGGTTCGAGGTGAGGTCAAAGAAACGTTTTGTGGACATCCACGTGCAAACCTTACAGCCCTATTCGCCTCCACCATGATCACAACCGCTTTTGATCATTTGCTTTTGAGGATTCTCAATTGCGACTTATGAGAGTTCTAAAAAACGTGCAAACCTTACAGCCCTATTCGGCACAACCATCCACAGATAACCGGCAATGGAGAGGGTTGAAGATGCAAGAGAGTGCCTCAAAGAAAATTGAGTTCACCAGGGGCACGGCCCAGGCCCCTCCACAGAACTGCACTGGTAGGCCAAGGGCAACCAAGGCGCCTGCCAGCTCCGAGACCCCACTGTTGGAAGTGGACACTGGAATGGCCCGAAGTGGTCTCCCCAAGGGCTACTGGTGCCGTCCTGGGGGGGTATGGGTGCGCTGACCCGCCAAGGAAACATGCTCTTTTATCCCAGTTGGTTAGCGGATTGGGATGCTATCCCTGCATGGTGCGGTGAGCGTGGAGGACCGGGGTCCGATTCCTGCTGTTGGCGACTTCCTGTGCCCTAGTGGTGGGCCCTCCTAGTGAGGGGAGTGTTGGAAGTGGACACTGGAATGGCCCGAAGTGGTCTCCCCAAGGGCTACAGGTGCCGTCCTGGGGGGGTATGGGTGCGCTGACCCACCAAGGAAACATGCCCTTTTATCCCAGTTGGTTAGCGGATTGGGATGCTATCCCTGCACGCACGCACCTTACCTTTCCCACTCGCCATACCTTCCCCACTTACCTTACCTTCCCCACTTGCCATACCTTCCCCACTCACCTTATCTTCCTGTGCTGACTGCACAGCCCGCGCCCCTCCGCTGAACTGCACTAACAGGCCAAGAGCAGCCATGGCGCCTGCCAGCTCCTCATCCTCACGCCCTCCATCTTCCTCCTCTTCATCCTCGGGCCCTTCACCTACCACCCACCTGCTGCTTCTCAAACCCCCCTCCCCTCCATCGCCCCCTTGGACCCTCCTGTCCCTTCGCCCTTTTCCATTGCCGTGCGCCTCTCACCCTGCCTCCACGGCACCACCTGCACCTTGCTGCACTGCAGCTCGCTGCATGCCGGCCAGCGCCTGGCACGATCGTCACTGCGGGAAGAGGGAAGATTGGAGAAAGGGAATGAGGGACGGGGGACTTGGAGCTAGGCGGAAGGGGGGAACGGTGATCTTAGCCTTGCCTCCCCTCCATGACACCACCTGCACCTTGCTGCACTGTTGCTCGTTGCATGAGGGCCGGCGCGGGGCACGATCGTGACTGCGAGAGAAGGAAGCGGGGAGGGGGAACAAGGGAGGGTCCCGGGAGAGGGAGAGGGAGAGGGAGAGGGAGTTGGAGGTGTGGGGCGGGGAAGAGTGATCTTCGGCTGCTCTGCAAGGCACCACCTGCTCATTGCATAAGGTGAGGGCGGCACCTGGAGCGAGTGTCACTGAGAGAGAAGGGAGGAGGTGAGGGGGAACAAGGGTTGCACTGTAGCTCGTTGAGGGGCTGCATGAGGGGCTGCATGAGGGGCTGCATGAGGGTGGCGCCTGGAGCGATTGTAACTGGGAGAGAAGGGAAGTATGGAGAACGGGAACAGGGGAGCCAGGAGTGGGAATAGGGAGAGGGTCCCAAGAGAGGGGGGGGAGAGTTGAGGATATGGGGGAGTGGGAAGGGTGGTCTTTCTGTTGGCGTGCCTCCACGGCACCAACTTCACGGTGCTGCGCTGCAACTCGTTGCATAAGGACCGGGTTCCCGGCTACTAATGCGAGAGAACGGGGGGATTTGAGGATGGGGCAAAACGGGTGGGGGAATGCGGACGGGGGAAGGCGGATGGGGGGATGTGGATGAATGGGGGATAGCGGATAGGTGAAGGCGGATGGGGGAAGGTGGATGGGGGAACGTGGATGGGGGATGTGGATGGTTGAAGACAGATAGGGGAAGGCGGATGGAGGAAGGTGGATGGGGGAACGCGGATGGGGGAAGTCAGATGGGGGAATGCGGATGGGGGAATGCGGATGGGGGAACGCGGATGGGGAAACGCGGATGGGGGAACGCGGATGGGGCATCACCAAAATGTTTCTGACCCTAGCGTGACCCACCTTCCGGCCTGACCCGAGCCTGTCCTGTAAATGCCCCCAGAGTTCCTTTGGGGTCAAACCAGGGTTAGTGGTCAGAACAGGGTCACTTCTGGGTCAATGAGTTTTTGCCCCAGACCTAACCCAACGTCGATCTGACCCGAATCTGTCCCAACCCAGCGTACCCTCATGTTCCTTGTGCGCCCAAGTTCGATTCTCGCCATGTAACAGGAAAATAAAAACCCCTTTTGGAGCCGCACCATTATGGACAATGTCCTGAAGCCTTGCAATCGCATGATGGTGTACCAAAACAAAAACACTACATACAGTACCTACATCTGGTCTATAACACAGTCCAACACCAATAGTACATCCGCTCAGGCAGGCCAAGAGGATCGCCTCTCGGCGACCGAAACTAATGGACAGCCACCGAATGGAAACAACATAACTACTACTGCCCAACTGCCCATAGGTTTTACATCAAAAGTGTAGCCGTGGTTTGCCTCATGTACCGACCCCACACGGTCCCTGTCAAGGCACAACCACACGGCTGCAACATGTCTTCCGCCCCCATCACTCATCAAACAGGAACCGATTCACCAAAGAGAACCGGAACTCTGTGAAACACGGGACAATGTGGGCAAGGGACAGAATGCTCTCCACCTCGACAACGGCATACTCATCCTCTCCCTCCGTTGGCAAGAGCCTCACGCATCCCGTCACGGGGCATGGAGTGGGATGCTCGTCGAAGTACCGCACCACGGCGCGCCTGTGAATCTGGGCCTCACCGTCCATGAAATGGAAGAGCATGAGGCACCGTGCATACCACTCGCCTTCCCCCCCATCAATCGACACGTAGCTGAACTTCCCTTCACCCTGGCACTGCCTTCACCATGTGCCCTGGCCCGCGGCCCAAGAGGTGGTCATGGGGGGGTATCGCCAGTGCGGTGTGTACCTGCAGACAACGACAAGAACGGCACCGGGCATCACGAGAAGGTCCCCCTCAAACGCAATAACAAGGCACTGCTGACCACCTTGTACCCCGGAAATCCCATGCCCGGTTAGGCCCCCTTGCACCCACTCATGCCATCGAGGCATCATCTGCACGCTTGACGCAGGGATCCCCACGCGCTGCATCACCCGTGCGATCCCATCCATCACGACGCTGCCCAGCGCGGCGCCGTATTCCGCCCATACCGGGTACTGCGCATCCCCCACCGCCATGCGCCGTGAACGTCGGGTCAGCACCGATGTGTTGTGCTTTACCGCCTGTGCCCACTCGCAGTACGATGGGAATGGAAAAGAGCGTAACTAAGAACGGAACATGACCACATGAGTTCACTGCAAATACGAGACATCATTATGGAAGCAATGTCACATGGAGCGTCTGCCATACCATGCATGCATGACCTGAAATAGCTCACCGTGCGCATGGCCGTCTCGTACGTCCTCCCCCCCTCTTCCCGAGCCAGGCCCCTGATTGCTGTTGCGTGCGTGGCAAACCGCAATGTCTCGGCCCACGTCCCGCCAGTTCGAGTTCCGTGCAGGCCATTTGCGGCATCGCTTATGCATGGCCTCGTAGGTGTTGGTCGATTGCTCGGACGGGATGCCATGCATCCTGATGGCGTGAGGAAAGTGCCGGAGAAGATGCACCTTCGGCAGCCGCCAGTGCAACGACTGCTTGGGGAAGAAGAGCTTCAGCTACGCGACCAGCCTGCGCAGCATCGTAGAGCAACGCGTGAGATGTATGGCGATGCGGGGCAGTGGCATGAGGGGCATGTGCATTAGCTGGGAGGAGCAGATGCTGCAAGGGCGTGATACTGCGGAGCAGATAAGGCTCGGGCATGATATGCGGAGGGCGGAGGGGTAGGAGAGTGCGCAGCAATAGAGTCACTTGCATGAAAGTCCAGCGCGGGGGAAGAAAGGGCATTAGAGGCAGGGGCGTCTGATGAAGTGGTATGAGATCCTGTGGCTGCCTAATACCATTGAGAAGTATGGCCAAAGGCACGTGGGGGCATGAGGGGATTAAAGGTTGAGAGGCAGGGGCATGATGACGAGTGGCATTGGAGGGAGTGGCCTTATAGGCAAGAGCATGAGAGTCAGAGGCATCAGAGGCCGGTGCGGGACAGAGAGTGTCTTGTGAGGCAGGGGCTCGAGGTGCAGGGGCATGGTGGAGGCTGGTGCCAGCCTAGCGTGTGAATGACAAACCCGCCTACACAAGGGTCTTCCTCGTTGCATCTTGAAGAGACGCCTCCGTGTGATAAGCCACGCGGAAATACGCGCGGTACCACTCGTTGAAGAGAATGACCACGCGGGCAATGTCCTCGTGGCCAGGCAGGTGAGCGACTAGCGGGACAATCTGCATCATGGCCCAGGTGCTCCCATGCGGTATACTGGGACACCGTCCCAAAGTATGCCGATGGGTCCGGATACCGGAGAAGAGACGGTGGCGTCACTGCCATGACGGCCTCGCACTGGCTGCGGCCACAAGCAATGCAACGTCAGGGCAAGACATGAGCAAACACGCTTTCAACCGCGCAATGCTACATCACATGTTTACAGCACCACGCTACAACCCCTCGAAAACCCGCACTCAGTACCTTAGAAGAATCAGCTGCTCAGTGGGGGTTAATTTCGCCACCAGGCATCGCATGGTGTACAGCCACACCCCCTCGTCCACCACGTGCATGATGCATATTCCGATGACCTCGTAGAGGTTCCCCCAGGGTGTGTCGACGTGCGCCCATTCCCACAATGCGCACTGCCAAACCGCACGCTAATGCTAATGCTGTTATCCGTGCGCAAAATCGCGCAATATGGGTTGTGTAAACAATGGTTCAACTGCCTGACCCCCACACCGCAGCCTCTCAGAGGGTCACTCACCTTCACTAAGTGTGTGCACCGTGCAGACTTAACTCTCTTGCGCTTCTTCGGGTTGGTACCCTCGATCCGCTCGTACACGTCCTTCTGGCCTTTCACTGTGCGTGTGGTGCTTTCCAGCGTCAGATCCGCCAGGTTCCACTTGCTCACAAGGCACATAGAGCAAGGTTGGTTTGACGTGGCTGCCCATGCGCATGTCACCATGCACGACTCGGTGTGGTCGCACACGTACTTGCTCAGAATTGGAAAGACCCTCTGTTTCCGCCCCAAATGATCAGCGACCATGATTCCCCCACTGCGCAAGACGGGGCCCGAACGTCGGTAGAAGCAAGTGTGATCATCGGTTTATTCAACTCACCCCGGCCTGGGACACTACACTGCTTACAGATGGCACCTCCCATGCCTTTGGCCGCAACGTACCTCTCGACTGATAATGCCCACATGAGAGGCCCAAGTACCAGCCGCAGCATCTCGTGCATGAGCTCCGTCTTCTGCTCAGGTTTCAAGGCTGCGGGTAGCGGGGGGAAGAGTGCTACCATCTCCATGCCACCTTCCAGCCATCGGCTGGCCTCGGGAATGTTGTCCAGCGAGAACATCATCGGGTGAGCCAGTTGCCTCCCATTAAACGTCAGATGGGTCGCATCACTGAACAGAATCACCACTGCCACTATACCGGCACCGTGTAAAGCCTCCTGTAGGGTATGGGTCGGACACAGATAGAGTTGTGGACGTGCAACCCACCCTGCGTCTGCTCACCCTCCCCGAAGCTGCGACATGAGCCCAGGAGAACAAGGGGAACGACATCATGACAGATTCAAATGTACCCATGCCCTCCAAAACCAGTCGCATTCCACAGCGGCCCCGTAACGTCTCTCGTCATCCACCTCCACTGTCCGTGGTTCCGTCGTGAACCCGGGGACCCGGGACATCTTCTCCCACATCCTCAGCAGAATCTGCGTGGTGAAGGATTGCCCAATGAGCAGCATACCAACGGGTCAATGTGGCAAAATTGTGGACTGCCTCTCACCTCTATGCCGCAAAACTCACACGAACGAGCGGCCGAAACCGAAACGTCACCGCACCCAGCCCCTCCTGCAGCTCCAACACGCGTATCTCCCATTCGTCGCCAAATGACAGGTATTCCTCCTCAAACCGTTCGAGGTCCCGATATGTCTGCCACATATCCACCTCTCACGGGTCCCCGTTCCCAGCTTTAAACAACTAGATGATGTCGATTATGGCCGCATTAGGCAAGAAATACGTCCGCGCAATGCGCGCTATTTCTAGCCTAAAGTCCCGACTGACACCCGCCTCCGCCACATCCTCCGACTCCCCCGATGCAACCGACGGAGCTGACTCCGGTGATGACGACGCCTCCCCGTCATCGCCATTAGCGTCCTCCTCGTGGCGATCGCGAGCCGTGCGGGGCTCGAATGGCGCATCAATGCATCGTCTGGATGCGTGCACGATCGTAATTAACGGCGGCCGATAGAATCGGCCGTACGGAATGCCTAAGGCCGCTAGGCGGTCCTGTTCGTACAGGCATTTTTTGTTCCTCCGCTGATGTCTACGTAACCCACCGTAGCTTTTCAGTAATTTCTCGCAGAAACATCATGTCGCATACGGCATAGTATCCGGGTCATGCTCGGACCATGACTCACATGGCGGTCACGTAGACGACTGCGTGCGGGCAAACGCACTTTACATCCACGACAAACACTAACGTTAAGGACGTAGTCGCGCCTACTAGACCACGCGTAGTGAACAAGGCGAGAACTGAGTTAAGGTTTCACCGCGTGCCTTCCCTCTCGATCTCAATATACCCCCCAGGGGCATATTTGTGTGTTTATGTAATGTGATGAGTAACATTTAATACATTCGAACAATTATGCTTACAACCATTGAGAAACGCCACTGAGTTTCACTCATAGGGCCACCCCATATCCGTATCCGAGCCACACCCTGACCACTATCATACTGGAGCCATCACTCTGATATGTTCCGTATAAATCTTGCCAGGGGGGCTATGGTTGACATTCAAGGACACCTTTGCTTCTTGAAGTGGGCCACCAATGGGGCCCAACCCTTGTTGGCATAAATAGATCAACACTATTAGCTCATGATAGAAAAAGTTACTACCGTGCATCAATGTCCGTGCGTGGGCGCTTTGCGCTAGGCGTTGCCATCAGTCGCTCAACAACATCGATGAACGTGATGGCGGTGTCGAAAGTCGGCATCCTGGCCACACCTACAAAATTAGGAGAGTGTGGACCATCACCGACAATGCGTAAGTCCCGTGCTCTATACTGGAAAGGTGGAGTTTGCCACGCCTTACGAGCAACTCACCTCGAGCCAGTGCATCCACACGAGCCTGGGCTCTGATCGGTAATCCCATGATGGCTGCCTCACTCGCATCGTTTGATCCTGTAGATAAGAGATACGCCGTGAGATATCACACGATACCTATAAAAGCAAATGGGGTAACTGTGCCTCACCTTCCGTGGCTAGGCGGATAGTAGAGGGAATGGGCAGCAGCCGCTCTACCGCATCGATGAACGAGATAGCCATTTCGAAGTTTGGCAGTCTGGCGGCAGCTGCACAGGGGGATGGGTGGGATGCGCGAATTAGCATGGCATCTTATAAGAAGCCCATTCTAGGGCATCCATGACGAATGACACACACGTGAAACGGACTCACCCCGTGCGGCACGAGGCACGTTTGGCAATGCAGCTGCAAGCAGAGGCACGCTAGCCGCCTGGTGTGTACCTCCACGTCCTGTAACGATGAACAGGGGAGGTCATGCACTCTGGACAGAGAGCGATGTGCCCTAAACGGGGAGGTGTGACACACCGGGAATTAGCACTGGAAGGGCTGTGAGTTGAGGTACTGGGCCCATACCTGCCATGGCACCGGAATGCGGGTGCCCATCATGGCCCAGTGACTCTGTCCGCGGCGTTACTCCTGCCGCGGCCTGCCCGTTGTCCTCATCCTTGGGCTTGGTTGCGTTGCGGTCTATTACGTCAACATGGCCCAGACCGGCCATCGATGCCGCCCCCCCCTTTCTGCTCCGCTTGTTCGTCCCTTGTGTCGGATAGCATCCCTCCGCCGACTCCAAGCTTGGCCCTGGTCACGGGGTCCTGCTGCTGGGTTCGGCCATGTTTGCCATTTGGACCTGTGGGCACCGGCAATGAGGCAGCACGGAATGATGTTGGCTCAAAAACATCGCCACGAATGACATCCTCTTTCTTGCCGATATCCTCATCGTTAGCGCCCCACGCTAATACCTTAGGAACTGCATTGTCCGTCGCCACCGGCTTAGGTGACTTATTGACAGGAGGATATTGGCCATCGACCCTCGTGCCTCTCACTTCTTGCTTTTCGCCCACCACACAAGGGTTGACGCCCCCCGTTGCAACACCAGTAAGGCGGTTCGTGGGACGGCTCGGATGAGGATCGTTCTCGTGCTGCGCGATTCGTCCGCCGCGGAACTCCGACGCTGTTTTGTCATTGGCAGGCCGAAGGGAGCTCAGCTCCTCCTCCGTCGCAGGAGTTTTTGTCCCGAGGTCCGGTGAGCCGGTGTATATCTTGCGTCTCCGCTTCCATTAGCGCGTCCACCGGCTCCCCTAGCGCTACGGGTTCCTCGTCACCCTGTCCGTGCCCGACGGGGTCGTTGACGCCTATGGGCTGAAGATTCTCCTCCGTACCGTGGATCAGTACTTTCCCATTTGTCAAAGCGAGCCCGTGGATTAAAACACGGAAGTAGAAACGCACCGCTTCGATATACATCTTCCGGCATTCCACAGAATGGGTCTTCACTTTCTCCGTCAGCGCCATCGTCGTGTACGGCGTGCCCTACCTGCTGACTGTTGGCGCGCTGGTGTGGCCCGCTTCGCGTGGAGGCCATGGTTGTTGACAGGAGCTTCGGAATCAGGGGTGGTTTCTCGGATGCTTTGGGTTGTAAGCAAGGTGTGCTTGACCGCTGATTAGGGTTTCGGGAACAGTGACGGCCTCCAGACGAGCTGTTTCACCGTCCATCTTCCAGACACCCTAAACCCAACCTTGATAATGTTTGTTGTGACCGATACCATTCGAGCATAGTTATTTATCGAAAGTGCTTAAAAATTGCAAGTTGAGGCATGTATTACTGTCAATCTGGGAGCCCTGAACATTGCACCATTGTTCACAACGAATTTCCTGTTACAACCACAGTGCTATGAAGATGAGGCCCCCATCTGCTTGGGGTACCAGCCGCTCCACTCCAAGAAATCCTCCCTAATATCCTCTCTCCATTCTGTTGGATCACCCCACAGTGTGATCGACTATGTGTCTGCAAAAGCGGTGTCCACCATCACCTGCATATATTTCATCACGTACACACCACAGTCGTTGCGTTTGACTACTTTGTGACCTGGGACACAAAGTACATCACACACATACAGAGGAAACACGCAGTACTGATGCAGTCATAGATGGGCCGCATCATCTTGTTCTGGCGCATGCGCTGAAGTATAAATATCGGTTCCATACCTCCATGGTGACGAGCTCCACCGAATTCTCCCATAGTTGCGCCTCCACGTCCGTGACAATGGGCCAATACCCAGTGAGCTGAGCCGTAAGATAACGTCGCAGTGGTCCTGCGATGTCCGTGTGCAAGGAGTGTGAGTCTGCATGCAGGATGCGGATAGGTCGCGGGATGTTGTGCTCGTCGATTGGGTGGTCGTTGTCCAGTATGACAAGGCTCCAGTGGCCGCTGCAAGAACGAATGCAAGAATGGGTGCCGCCATGAGACTATGTGGTCGCCTACAGTTTAGGGATAACGGATGACGACACCTGTAAATGACTCACGCGCGGTGGATCGGAACTATGGCCCACTTGTAGGTCAGGACATTCTCTCCGCATGCAAAGTTTTGCAGTGCTGCTGCGGTGTTGTCACGGGAAATCAGTGTGTAAAAGTATGTCCCCGCGTATAGCCACGCCCGCTCTTCTGTGATAGTTTCATATTGAAGCAAGCTGCATCAAACAAATGACAAAGCGCGTTTAGCAAGGATAACAACCTGGTGAATGGGTTGTTGCAATGACACACATCAAGCGGCGGGTTACTCACATGCCCCACCACTCAATGATGTTGCCAGAAACCCACTTTCCAGGGGACAGGGTGTCTAGCTGTTTCTGCGTCAATGATAACCACGAGCCACCAATTGGGTATGGGATACTGTACTTCTTCATACGGGGGGTCGGGGCTTTAGACTTCTTAGGAGGCATTGTAGGCTGTAGCACAAGCGCAAAATCTGCGGTCTACGTGGAAGCCGAGGGTCTACGTTGAAGCCGCGGTTAGGCAGCGTCAAGTGCGGCGGACTGGAGATGGTGGATATGAACACACCGATCCAGAAATGGGCACGTTTAAGTTGACATAACTTCACGGTACGGTGGTGCACGGTTTATTACTTCGCACTCAACAGGTGTCTTCGATCACCGTGGCTTACTGTCGCGGGAAATGCTGAAGATGCAGTTCAGTGTGTACTCCCAGCATACCGGGCAACTCTGTAACGACCATCCCATAATGGTCGCCTATAGCTGACTTCGTTAAGGCGTCCGGAATTGGTTTGCACGGTATGAGGTGCAACCAGCTGTCCTGGTACACGGTACTCTGTTCCAGTGCGGCGACGATAAGGTTACATGTCATCGCGGCAGTTCGAGGCCGCCACGTGGACAGGGGTCCTACGAAAAGCGGCCAATGACGCATATCCCATCCTTCGTGTGGTGTACAACGCACAGACGGTTTAGATCGGGCGTGGACTTCAATCCACGGCTGTCAGTCACTTTGAATGCCACACGCCCAAGGGAGCAGGAGCCGATTGGCGCGTCTGGTTGGTTGATGGTTGCAAGACTCCTGTTCTTTGTTGTCTCATTGCGCTTTTGGCGAAACCCTTGCTTTGTCTCTTTGGGCACTACTCGTAACCCTAGCTAATGCGCATCCGCGCAGGCCAGTGTTGCAAGAATCGCCCTATTGAAGAAGCCAGTTCGAGGTCAGAACGATGTCTCTAACCTTAGACCGACCTACGCGAGATAGGAAGCCAGCCACCCGCACACCTTAACGGGAACGATTTCGTAGTGACTACGGTCCGCACTCGAGCGCTGGACAGCAAATGGGTGGAAGAGAGTGAGCGCACGCGTGTGCTCGTTACTGAATATCGAACTCGGCGTCTACGTGGCGACAGTCATTTGCCGCCAGGCCAACGTCAGCCCACTCATGGTGTCAGCGCCGGCCCACGCCAGAGACCGTTGTCTAATCCATACGGCCAGACTCCAGAGGAAGTGCACGCGGAGCGCGAAGCACGCAGGCGTCAACAAACGAAGCTGTTGACGGAGATTACGTCTGCAAACGCGGGGCCTGCAGAACAGTCAAACAAGGCAAGGGGTAAGCCACTTCCGTACGTGCCGTAAAGGCCGCATGCCCAACGCTGATTTTTTATTAGGAATGGTTCATCGCGGCGTTGGCCATGGGCGGTGCTGCCAATACGGTGACCCTGGGTACTCACCAAGCTACTAAGTAGCGTTTGCGTTTGTTGTTGCAGGTGGTGATCTGCGCCTAAGCGGGGACATTGAGCACAGGCGGTCCACGCAGCACCGAGTGCGGCCCTGAGGCATGGCTGAAGTACTACGAGGAGCTGTTTACAGTGCAACACTCATCATGCTCTGAAGAGGCCGACGTAGACGGCGAGGGCACGGAGTCCTCATCCTGTGACAGCGAGGATCAGTCTGGCGACGCGGACTGGGTCGCAAGTGAGTCCGAGTCCGAAGGGGAGACTGATAACACGCCTCCTCCCTCTCACTAATCTGAACTCGCAAGGTCACAAGGTTGCGGCCAATCTGCATCAGGTCGTGCGGGTAAGCGCTTGCGGGCCACCGGGAGCGGGTCCAATCGCTTACGCTGTGACGCCGACACGTCTGTGCTTCAAGGGGTCGTGCTGTGTCGACACGGGCGTCCGGCATGCGGCGCAACTTTTTTAACATCTACGAGGAGACGAGCGACGGTGACATTCCGTCGGCTACAGGCCAGAGCGCGAATGTCGCACGTGGCGGGCCGGCGACGTCGGAGACCCGAGTACACGAGGCGAAATTGCAGCCGTCACTCGCTACGGCGGCGGTGGGTCATGGTGGGTACCCCACCCCACACCTACTTCCCCTCTGAATTGCTCGCAGGATGTCGTCAGGGGATCGGCGTTTTCCGGTAACTACGCGAGGCAGTGGCCACTCACACCGACCACAACACTTAAGCACAGTGGTGTGGAAGCCGAGTCCAACGCGGCACCATCTCGTGGCGGGGGGGTGGTGAACCGGACCTTGTTCGCTTCGCCGCCCAGGATGCATCCTTCTAAAACTGCCGGCTCGCCTTCTAACATTACCCCTGCCACGCCCTTGGTAGCACCTTCACCGCAGGTGCACGAACGTGGTCCGGACGGAGCTGGTGTGTTGCCGGGCATGATTCCCACGCCCTTCCTGGCCACATGCGAGGACACTCACGCTAGTGTCCGTGGAGCGGACACCGTTCTTGGCGGCGATGGGTGTGGAGACGACGTCGTCGGGCGTGCGATGGAGCAAATACGGCTGTTGTGGGCGCAGGTTCAGGCGACTCATGGGACAAAGGGTCCATCGGCTGTGGCACACGGGGCCGTGCCGAACTTCACCCTTGGTGAAGACCTGCATGCCGCTCTTGCGGGAATGGACGGCGATGCGGCGGATGAGTCGGGCAAAGGAGGCGGAGTTGTAACGCCAGTCGTGGCAGCCCAGCCGCAGGTGTGGAGGCCGAACGGCAGGGCTGGAGATGCACCCCAACAGAGTGGGGTTCGGAGGGATGCGTGTGTGGCAATGCAGGCACCAACACGACCTGCACGAGCTGCCGAAGAGTTAGCGCCAGTTGCAGAGGCATTTGAGCAGCCAAACCGCGGATTCGCAATGAACCGACTGTCTGGAGCCACGAGGCTGGCGATCGTGGGGAACCACGGGGGTCTCCTGGTGGGCGGTGTTGGTGTGGGGAGAGAGACAGGGATGGCCGCGGGGAGCGTAGCGCCTGATGGTGTGGCGTGGGATCGACATGCGCTGGGCCTGCAAGGAAGAGGGTTGAAGCGAGAGCGGCCGAAGATGACGATCATGGTTGACTTCAACCCAAACGATGGCCGGCCTGATTTGGTGCCGGGAATGCCTCCGGCAGACCTGATTCACGTATGTGGACTGGGCAAACCTTGATGTCCGTACGCATGAGGGCTCGGTATACTTTTGATATTCAGCCTTGTCGTTTCCCCCCCCCCCCCCCCACCCCCCACGTACCACCACCGCCCCCCAGTTTTACGCCAAGAAGGCGATGCATCTGCTGTTGCGTTCATGCGCCGCGCATGGCGTAACGCACTGGCCGACGGACGACGAGAGGAGCGTGGCCCTTCTCGTGGTGCTCTGGTGCCACTACGACGTCTGCCAGCTAGACGTTGACCGCGCCATGGGGAACGGGGCATACAGCAAGGTGGTCAACAAGATCTAGTCGAAAGTTCAGGAGTGACTCGTCGTCGAACGGACGCCGCAGGATCGTGGATGGGCTGGAGATCGAGGTCGCAGCCACCGGCATCTACAAGCTGGAGATCGATATCGACACCAAAAAGGATCTGCACCGGAAATACGCGCCCAGTGAGTGTCGTGGGTGCATGGGGGGGATCCCCATGGAGGGCTCACAGGGCAGGGCCTATGTATGCTGGGGCTGCTTTAACCACATCGTTGCCTGCCGCTCCGTATACAGAGAAGGAGCTTATGCAACTTGTATCGACATGGAGCTGCGAGAAAGGGGATTTGTGGCCCTTTACCACCAAGGTCTTTTTCCAAGCATGCAAGGCGGCCTACCCAGAGTGGGTGTTTGGAGGCAACCTGGTGCTGGTGCCATACCACATCGCCTGGGTCTTATAGTCTGTGAGTGGATGGAAGTAGCGAGAATTGCACTAAGGTGTCAAACGAGTACCAAATGTGAGCGAAGGCTATGAGCGAACATTTATATGCGAAACATGCAAACGGTAACGCGGTGCGTGCAAGCTTAGCTAGTGCTACGCTGGAGCAAGGCTTGGGCTAGTCCCGAAGCGTAGGCCGACACGGCCATGCCAGCAGTGCGAGGTTTGGTGAAAACAGTGTGCGCGAAGTCGGCGAAGCCCCGTTAGCAGTAACGGGCGAACAACGGCTGTTGCTGTACGCGATGTAGTTGGGCTCCGTAAGGAATGCCGAGAAAATTCCTTACAGTAAGCCTCATCGTACTTTGTGAGAAGAGACATACTATTTTTCTGTATTTTGTGCCAGGGTTTAGAGCCCAAACTTAAAAATCTGCACCTTATCATAGCACGCAAGACCTTGGAAGCTGATATCTAGTATCATCCAGCAGCACTCCATCGCAGCCACATTGCGTTGGCAACAGCGAGCACGATTGTAAAACTACGAGAATTGGCATTCCTGTCGTTGTGAAATCCTCATTTCTGCTCCCGTTTCACGCTCATTCGTGACACGCTTGGCTCACCCCGTTTTGAATCCCTATTCGTTCCGTGTTCTAAGCGGTCCCATGTATCGCATAGACAGTGTTCTGCAATTAACCTGATGGCAGTTCGATTTCGGGATACGCAACTGGAATACAAAAGCGATATGCATGACTCCTAGCTCTCTGGACAACGAGGGGGGGCTAGGTTACTATAACGAGCAGGTGCTGCAAGTGATCACCCATTGGCTGGGTGTGTCAAAGGGCAGGTGGTACAATCCCGTTGTGGGCGGATTCCGGTGGGGGGCAGAGCACCTGTATGTCAACATGAGTGACCTGGAGGAGTTCAAGCCCGTGCAATATGGGGGAAAGATGGACATGGGTGGTGATACTGACGAACCCTGGCTCGTTTGATGTTGTGCTCTTGCCTTCCGTGCCACAGGGGCATTGGCCCAGACACATAGGCTTCTATGCGTGGGTTGTTATGTTGGGGGTGTATTGTGGGTGCCGGATCCGTGGACCTAGTAGCAATGTGTAATAATTTTGTGCTCTGTAAATATCGGTTTTGCAAAATTGATTTCCCTTTATTCAATGTTGTTTTAAACTAAATTATAAAGAGGATCATGCAGATTGTGTACAGTGCGCGCAAAATATATTGTAGCCGATAAAACGCAAAACCTGTAACTGGAACCGGCGCACTCAATGACGGGGTTTAGGCGGATTGTGTGTTAGACACGTGTGTCCTAAATATGCCCTCATAGTTACTTTTGGGTCAGACTATCTGACCCGTACCTGACTTTTCCCGCCAAATTTTGGCCCATACTTGACCCGTAACTGACCCGTACCTTGTCAGAACATTATAGCTTATACATTTGTGTAGGCTGTAGTGGGGTAGCCCATAAGGGGTACAACCCAATTAGGGTTAGTACTTGTACCCAACTGTTTCATAGTTCAATCATTCTCGTTTCTTCTCATGGTATCGAGCAGGTTCCCTAGTGGGAACGCTACCTAGGGCCCACCACGATACTTTTTTTTTCCCCTGCCCGGAGCGCACTTCACTCCTGCCTGAGTCGCGCTCTGTGTGCCCTCCCTACCTTCGAGCCGCCCTTAGTGGCCCCTCTCACGGCCCCGTTGACCGCCATTACGGCCCCTCGTGCCACCTCTTACGGCGCCTCGCGCCGCCCTCTACGGCCCCCTCGCATCGCCCCTTACGGCCCCTTAAGGCCCCTCGCGTTGCCCTTACGGCCCTCGCGCGGCCCCTTTTGGCCCCTCGCGGCGCCCTTTCCGGCCCCTTACGGCCCCGCTACGGCCCCGTCTAGGCCCCTCCGCGGCCCCGTCTAGGCCCCCTTACGGCCCCGCTACGGCCCCGCTACGGCCCCGTCCCGGCCCCTTAAGGCCCCTCCGCGGCCCCGTCTAGGCCCCTTACTGCCCCGCTACGGCCCCTCCGCGGCCCCGTCCAGGCCCCTTACGGCCCCGTCGCCGCCACGAGCGGCCCCGTCACCGCCACCAGCGGCCCCGCCGCTGCCACCTGCGGCCACGCAGCCGCCGCCTACGGCCCCTGAACCGCCCACCTGCCGAACAGCCGAGCCGCCCAGGAGCCGAGCCGCCCGGCAACCGAGCCGCCCAGCAGCCGAGCCGCCCAGCAGCCGAGCCGCCCAGCCGCCGAGTTGCCGAGCCGCCCAGCCACCGAGCCGCCCAGCAGCCGAGCCGCCCAGCAGCCGAGCCGCCTAGCAGCCGAGCCGCCCTGCCGCCGAGCCGCTCTACTGTCGAGCCGCTGCTTTTCCTACCGGTGCGCCCCGGCCCTCCTTCCTCGCACTGGTGAGCTCACTCCCTACTAGGCCACTGCAGTCATGGCTACCCCTAGTGTCCTTACTTTTGATGCTGAGGGCCGTGCCATTGACTTTGAGGTCTGGGTTGATGACCTCCAACTATTTCTCCAGTGCGATAGGGCAGACGGCCTCTCCCTCTTTGACCTCACTTCTGGTGCCTTTCCTGCCCCTGCTGCTGATGCTGACGCCACTGTTCGCTCACAGTGGGCCACATGCGATGCTGCTGCTTGTCTTGCTGTGCGTCGCCACTTACCGACCACTGAGCGTGCACACTTTAGCCAGTACAAGAGTGCTCAGACCTTGTATGATGCTGTAGTTGCACGCTACTTCTCCCCTGCCACTACTGCACTGAGCCGCCTCATGCTACCGTGCCTCTTCCCTGACCTTGCTGCCTTTCCCACAGTCGCTGACCTCATTACGCACCTCCGCACTAGTGACACTCGCTACCGCGCTGCGCTTCCTGCTGAGTTCTGCGCCAAAAACCTCCCCCCCCCATGTACATCACTTTCTACTACATAGTCACCCGACTCCCTGACTCCCTTCGCGTAGTCAGGGACCACTTCCTCTCAGTTTGCCCCACCACTCTCACCGTTGACCTCCTCGAGAAGGCCTCTCCTAGTAGCAGAGAAGAGCATAGTTCCTGTAGGAGCCTCTCGTGGTGACCCTCGCACCCCCGTCTTTGAGGGGTGTTCCCCCTCCCCCCTTTTGCCCTCTGTTGCCTTTGCTAATGCGGCCGACCTCGTTGGCTTCGAGTCGGTTGGCGCTGCGTCAGCCCCTAGCGGGAGACGCCGCCCCGGCAAGGGCAAGGGGGGCAAGGGCGCTGGAGGGGCTGGCGGGGGTGGTGGAGGTGGCGGTGGAGGCAGTGGAGGGGGTGGGGGTGGTGGTGGGAGTGGTGGCGGGGGTGGAGGTGTAGGTGGCGGCAGTGGAGGCGGAGGCGGCGAAGGCGGAGGCGGCGGTGGCGGTGGCGGTGGGAGAGGAGGCGGTGGCGGTGGAGGAGGCGGCGGCGGAGGAGGTGGAGCTGGTCAGGGGTGGCGCTACGCAGAGGGTCGGCTCCGGTGGTGGTCAGCGCCAGCAGCAGCGCACCCGTGACATCCCCACCTCTCAGTAGCTCCGTGAGTGGTACGCTGCACGCCAGCGGGGAGGGGGTACTGGTCCGTGCACCTACGTCCTACGCACTGGCGACCGCGCGGGTGAGCAGTGCGGGGGTGCGCACCCCATCCAGCGCTGCTTTGGCCGCCTGATGGATGCTTGGCGTCTCCAGCTCCCTGAGGCCACTGAGATCCCTTGCTGGGGCGAGCTGTCTAGGGCGGGCGTAGATGTCTTTGACCTTGACTTTGATGCTATTCTTGCTGCCATGTATGCTGTGACTATTAGTGATGAGGGTGACTATTACCGGTGTTTTCCGCCCGACCCGGGCATTGAGACTGCTGCTCTAGGTACTGGTGAGGCTGCTGCTATAAGTGCTAGCGAGGCTGTTGCTCTAGGTGCCAGTGCGTCTGCTTCCTCAGGTGCTGATGAGTCTGCGCTCTCAGGTACCGTGTCGGCTTCGGCCTCCCACACCTTCACCCTTGACTCGGGGGCTTCTTGCTCCTTCTTTCGAGACTGCACCACACTCACGCCGCTTGGTTGGCCAGTTGCAGTCTCTCTGGCAGACCCCTCTGGGGGTCCTATCCTTGCTCACTTCTCCACTGTCCTCCCGTGTCCGGCGGCCCCCTCTGGCACCCTGTCTGGTCTTTACCTCCCCTCGTTCTCTAGAACTTGGTGAGTGGTGCTGACCTCCAGGATGCGGGGGTTCACCAGTTCACTCCTGCGAGTCAGCGGGTGACCCACTGCACGGACGCTCGGACAGGCCGACACCTGGCCACGTTTACACGTCGGCCGGGGTCGAGCCTGTACACACTGACCACTAAGTCTCCTTCAGTCACTGCGTCTGGTCAGGTAGCTGCGTCGGGTCAGGTGTTTGCTGCAGCGTCCAGGTCTGGTCCTGAGTCTGCCCCTTGCTCGTGTCGCTGCAGCAAACACCTGACCCGACGCAGCTACCTGACCAGACGCAGTGAGTGAAGGAGACACGCTTCACATGGACGTGTGGGGCCCGGCCCGCGTCCGTGGACAGGGTCACGAGCGCTACTTCCTGCTGGTGGTTGACGACTACTCGCGTTACTGTTAGAGACTAAGGACGGAGTCTATGAAGATTAGTAGCCAAAATATCTCAACATCGTTGGGCCTAGTTTCTGAACAGATAAGTCGAGTTCACAAGAAATGCCGTCGACAAAACGTTCACAGTCAAAACTTCATCAAACTCGAATATGTTGTAGCTCTACTCCGTGGCTACAATTCCCAAGTTGAATCATGCAAAAAGGTGAAGTATTTCTTGAGCTATCAATTTCGGCGCACTAGGGGGTATGCTGCCATAGAATCTTAACTCAATCACAAAGTTCACACAAGTTCACACAAGAGAATTGGAGTAGCACTAAACCAGGTGGGATGGGATGAGGAGGACAAGAAGGAAGGTCCCAAGAGAGTCCCCAACCAAGGAGACCCCATGCCACACAATTCCCCTCTCCATAGGCAACCCCACTTTCACTTTTGTCACTTTCCCAACCCATGCCATCCACCTAAACCCAACTTGGCCACACTTGCCAACCTGGTTTGGTTTCACCCAACCACTTGGCAGCAACTACAGTAGAAAAGACGAATTTCCCAACCCCCAAAAGTCTGTACCCCATATTGAGTCAACCCCACAACTCCCCATAGTCACCACAACCAAATATCAAAAGCATACGAACTCCAACGTTCGTAACTTTCTTGTTCGTGCTCCGATTGAAGCGATACTTGGTTCGTCGGAAAGCTCTTGAGCAGAGGAGTCACTTCAGATATCTGCTCAAGCCAAATAACATTCACACACACTCAGAAAATCCAAACCACACAAGACACAAATTTCTTGCACACGCTCACACCACGCATGCAACGCACAAACACATGATGGGAGGCAGACAGACGTGAATGCATATGGTTGCATCACACAACGAACTCCCCCTCTGGCTGCCAACCATCATCCCACATTCCATGGCTCAAGCATGCACTCTCAATGCACACTCATCCCAGCAAGCTTCATGCCCTTCCAATGCTCAGATTCAGCCAGGCGCTTGGTGAGAATGTCAGCCGCCTGCTGATGGGTCTTCACAATCTCCAGCCGCACCTCCTTGTCCAGGAGCCTTCTTGTCCAATGCCACTTTGGCCTGATGTGCTTTGTCAAGCCATGAAGACAAGCATTCTTCGCAAGCTTCACCGCCGACTCATTGTCACAGAAAATCACAGTCGGCTCCCTCTGACACACTCCGATTTCCTCCAACAAACGCCTCAGCCACACCACCTCCTTTGCCCCATGATGAAGGGCCATGTACTCGGTCTCACACGAGGACAGCCCCACCTCATTCTGCTTCTTGCTGCGCCAACTCACTGCACCACCTCCAAAGAGGCACACATAGCCTCCAATGCTGGTGCCATCTGCCTTCACAGAGTTGAAGCTAGCGTCGGTGTAGCAAGTCAGGCGCATCTCCCCCTTGCTCAAATCAGCTGCACCCCTCTGCAGCCTTTGCCTCACAGCACTGTACTCCAGACCCACAGACGCTGTAGCGCTCACATAGCGGACCAACCTCTTGGCCGCTTCCAGCTGCTCATGACTGGGGCGTGAAACCACACTGGCAAGCCTAGATGTTGCAAAGGCAATGTCAGGCCTTGTGTGGTTAGCCGCATAGTTGAGTGCCCCAACCATGGAATGAAAAAGTTTCCTGTCACTCTCACCCACCACCTCCTCATCAGCACAGGGCTCCACAGTGAACCCCGAAGGCAGTGGGGTGGCTGGCTTTCCTCCATCTTGCAGCCCATACTTCTTAGCCAGCCCCTCACAATACTTTCTCTGGTGCAACCTCAACACTCCCTTGTCAAGGTCCCTCTCCACATGCATCCCAAGGTAGTACTTCACATCTCCCATCTTGGAGCACTTGAACTGCATTTCCAGCATCTCCTCCACACGTTCAATCATTGCAGACGACTCAGAGAAGAGCAGGATGTCGTCCACGTACACCAGGAGCATGAGGAAGTGCTCCTTCTCTTGCAGCAGGAACAGGCTGTGATCACACTCGCTCTTCTTGAACCCCCCGACCAGCAGTGTCTCCTCCAGCTTGTGGTACCATGCGCGAGGAGCCTGCTTCAGGCCATAGATGGCCTTCTTGAGCCTGCACACCCTGCCGCTCCCATCATCCAACCCCTCAGGCTGCAGCATGTACAGCTCCTCCAGAATGATTCCATTGAGGAATGCAGTGATTATGTCCATCTGCTTGATCTTCCAGCCACGGTTTGCAGCCATTGCCAACATCGTCCTCAGTGTAGTGCCTTTCCCTACAGGAGCAAAGATATCATCAAAATCCTTCCCCTTTGTCTGTTGGAACCCCTTAGCCACAAGCCTTGACTTGTAGCGGGTCAGCTCCCCATCGGGTCCGTACTTATGCCTGAAGATCAGCTTAGAAGAAATGGCCTTCTTCCCAGGTGGCAGCTCACACAGCTCCCACGTCTCATTCTCCAGCAGAGAGTCATACTCCTCCTTCACACTCTGCTTCCACTTCTCAGCGTCGGGCCCGCTCAATGCCTCGGCTAACGTCTTGGGCTCAGGGACGGCTGCCCAGTAGCAGTGTGCTATCTCATCCTCATCACACTGCTCAGCCACACTCCCAGCCCGTACTACCTTTGGCTTGCCAAAGCTCGGATAGGTCAGCCGGTTAGGAGGGCGCACTTCCCTCCGGGGACGGTCAGCCGGACGCGCGGCACCTTGTGGAGCACCTTGCTGCTGCTGCTGTGGCTGCTGCTGCAGCTGCTCCACCACCTCAGGTTCTCCCCCATCCTCAGTCACCCCAGAAATCTCCTCCTCTGAGACAGTGACCTGCACTTGCCTCGAAGGCCGCTGCACCTCATCAGCCTCAATGATCAGCGGTGTAGTGGGAAGCTTCTGCTGCTGCTGCTTCCACTCCTTGTAGTACAAGGACTCAAGGAACTTCACATCCCTCGACACAGTCAGCTGCTGGCTGGTCAAGTCCCAAATCAGCCAGCCCTTGTGATCCTTAGCAAGCCCCAAGTGCACACCCCATCTCCCAGAAGCTTCCAGTTTTCCCCTCTTCTCCTTAGGCACATGAAACACCACCATACAGCCATAAGTTCTCAACATGTTGACTGCAGGCACACTCCCATACCACTTGGTGTAGGGGACCCATTGCTTGTCCCCCACAGTCGCCAGCACCCGGTTCTTCACAACAACGACCTGCCGCAGTGCTGTCACCCAAAACGGATCCGGCAGCCCTGCACGCCCAAGGAGAGTGCGAGCACCTTCCTGCAGGGTCTGGTTGAACCGCTCAGCCACGCCATTCTGCTGAGGGTTGTAAGGCACTGTGAGCTGATGCTGGATCCCCTTCCACTTCAGCTCCTTCTCAAAATCAGCGCCGATGAACTCTCCTCTGTTGTCAGTGCGGATCACCTTCACCTTGTGTCCGCTCTCCCTTTGTGCTCTCGGCATCCACTCCTTAAGAACAGCCGCTGCCACCTCCCCCTTAGTCTTGAGAGGGTACACCCACACCGCACGTGTGTGGTCGTCCACAATTGTCAAGAAGTAGCGGCTGCCCGAGAGAGAAAGGGCCCTCGTGGGGCCCACCACATCCATGTGCACGAGTGCAAGTGGTGCCTTGGCTGGTCCTGTGCTGCTGCTGAAGGGAAACTTCGTGAATTTGGTCTCAAGGCAGGTAGGGCAGCTCCCAATCTCCTTTGCTCCCCCCTTCACCTCCAGCCCCTTCAAGCACCCATCCTTAACCAACTTCTGCAGCATAGGAATGTTCACATGGCACAGCCTCTCATGCCACGTCTCCCAATCAGCCTCACCACTCCCAGATGAAGCCTTTGCCCATGCAGCTGTCGCATCCACACCAGCAACCACCTCACCATGTGGTTGTTGTAGCTGCTGCACCTTCTTGACTGCATCCATGGCCCCAGCAGTTGGTGCAAACTCCTCTCCTCCCGCAGTTGCTTTAGCCGCTCCCGCTGCCTTTGCTGTTGCTGGTGGTTTCCCCTTCCAAGGGATGATGGGCAGCTGCCACAGGTCCTTGATGCAGCTGCTCTTCTCCTCCAAGTTCCACAGCAGCAACTTCCCAAGCTTTGCACGGCAGCTGGTTGGGCCGAAGGTAACTTCAGCCTTGCTCTTCTGCAGCCAGCGCACAGAAAGAAGGTTAGCGGACAAACCTTCAACCAACAGCACATTCCCAAGCCCCACAAGCTCTCCATTGGCTCCCATCACCTTAGCATTCCCGACACCAATCACAGGGAGCAAAGCACCTGAAGCGGCAGCCACAAACTTGATCTTCCCAGGAGGTTTTACCTCATCAAGCAAATCTGCCCGTGGGGTCATATGACTCGTGCAACCTGAATCGATCACCCAGTGAGTGAGGGGGTGCATCACAACCTTCCCAACTGAACCCACATCACCCCCACTCCCTTGCACATCCTCAACCATGAGGAACATCCCAGGGTCGGCTTTACCTTGTGCACCATCACCTTGTGCACCTGATCCTTGCACAGCGCCACCGCGTGCACGTTCACCACTTGGCGGCTTCATGCCTGGAGGGGCCCATCCCTCAGGCCGGCTGAAACACTTGAACCACGGGTGTCCAGCCTTCTTGCAGTACCAGCACGCACCCTCCATTCGGGTGCTCCCCCTGCCACCAG